AGGGAAAAAATTATAAAAAAAATAAAAAACCCCCCCCCCCCCCCCCAAAAAAAAAAAAAAAAACCCTCTTTCAACATTCGTCAGTCAAAGGCGCATCAAACAAGCGAGAGCAAGTTGGCCTCGACGTGTCAATCACAGCTCTGAATGCGTACCGGCCTGCAAACACGTCCGCACGCTGTCAACAAGTGTGAGGAGCTTTATGCTCCGCCTGCAGGGACATCCGCAAGAGGAATTCCCAAACAAAACTTCGATTAAAGGGAGAGAGACGGGGAAAAAATAAAAAATGGAATAGAAAATAAAAAGCGGTTGAAATGAACCTGGAGCTTTGTCGAGAAAAAGTGAATTGAATACATTCAAATTATTATTTATTTTCTAGATGAAAAGAAGCTGTGATGTCATTTTCGTCAACACGATCAAACACAGGCGTCTGCTTGTTTTTGTTCTTTTTAGGTTAATAACAAAAAATTTTTTTTTGTGCTGACAAAAAAAAGCAGTGAAAACAGGAATATGATTTACACAGCAGTGACATTTCATTGTTTCGTTTTGGTCGTAGCAACTTTTCAGTACAGTCAATAAGAATCACACTCCTCAGTTAGACTTCAAGGCTTTTTAATTTTAAACGTTAATATATTCATCTTCTAATCCATAGTGAGCTATTCGTGTCAAATCTGCTGAGCAACAGAGGAGGCCTTTAACAATCCTTTCTCAAAATAAATATTTGTCATAATAATAAAATATTAAAACCTTCAAATAAATATATCTTTTTAACTTTACACTAGGCAATTTTGGAATTAGAACATTTTTTTCATTTTTTCAAATAAGATCACTGTACAATTTACAGGTAGGATCAGGGTTAAGATCTCTGACGTTGTAAATTATTTTAAAATATGATTGGTAGACATTCCATGTGAATGCAGAAACTTTGTATGAATGGCAGCTGACGCAGATTCATCAAAGTGCCTCTAATGGCAGAAAACCTTTCACAGTTGAAGTATCATATAGATATATATATATATACAAAAATAAAACATCTGTCATTTTCTATTGTACACCCCCTTTCCATTATTATGTTACATACAGTTAGTAGCAGAAGCTTTTAGAATATAGTTTGTATCAAATGTTAAAACCCCAAAGCTATCTGCTTGGACTGTATTAGGAAACATCACGGCACTTGAGTGAAAAGATATAACAGTAGTTAAATGAGATGCCATACCTTGAAATGTGGAGTGCTTATTTTGGTTGACCATTCAAGTGAAACTCCTAATGCTAGGGTGAGTAAATGCACCTCCAGTGCCTTTACCACTAACATTTCTTTTAGTAAGTTTGCATTCAAAGTAGACACATGGGAGCCTTTCCTGACATGTCCGGTGGACATTAAGACAACAGCCACAATGACGCTATTAGATGGTTCAAATTGTGCAACTTGATACTTTGCAGTTCACTCAGTGTGGAGTTGGTCAATCAATGTCCCATTTCATCCTGGCCTACGTTGCTGTGCTGTCGTCGTGACAGCGAGTTGGGGTTGGGTTCTTGCATCGGCAGCCGGGTCGTGCGACTTGGTCGTAGCAGCACTGGCACATGGCCAGGCACCCCTTACCTGGGAGGTAGCACCAGAGACAAGGGCAGAGCAAGGAGCAGAACATGATGGTCGTCCAGCGTACGCAGCAGCGCGACTGAGAGCACGAGAAGGGCTTGTCCGCGCAGGTGTCCTCATCATCGTTGGAGCAGTGGTAGAAAATGCCCTTCAGGCAGCAGACGCACGTCCCGTACTCCACGGCCTTGTCTGGAGAGCACAGGCAGCGCTGGCCGCACATCCAGCAGGACGGAAGTGCTCTCGGCTGGACGCACTCTGAGCACTTGCACCGACCGCAGGACTCACATCTTTTGGAGTGTTTGTCCTTTTTTAAAGGCTTCCTGCTGCCCGGGATTGCTTCTATGTCTCTGTACTCTGCGTTCAGGGGTTTTAGCTCCTCAGAATCAGCTCGTTTTGGCTGGTTTCTGATTATTTCGTAGCTATTCGCCGGGCCGCCGAGAAGCCGCTGACCCGAAGAACCGCTCCCTGCGCTGGTGCGGACGCTGCTCTGGGAGTCCTCCACACTGGAAGACTGAGACATACCCTCTCTTGAAGAGATGGGAGCATTTGTGTTCCCTTGATGAGTCACTGAATACAGGTTGCGGAGGTTGTTGGACACCTCTTCCTCGGTCTCTTGCTGCCCATTGGTCCTTGAACCTGTTGATGTAACCATCTCAGTCTTCCGTTGCTGGGTGGCCGGAGACCTTTGAGCAGCCGACGGCCCGTCTGTATATTCATTACTACCACCGCTTATTCTTATCTGATCCAGAGATAACACTGGTGGAGTGTGTGGCCGTAACCTGCAGTTCAGCCCAGGATCTGACGGAGCGTCTAGGTTTTGCAGAGACCAGGATCGTGCTCTACCTTCGTCATGCGCCATGTTCGCCAATCCAGTCAATGACGGCAACACCCCGTGGCGTCCTCCTCCTCCGTCGCTGTCGTTCTGACTTCTGGAATCCATCTTTGGACTGAAGGGCCTCTCTAGCCGGGTGGGGACACATCTGAATTCCTGTTGGAGAGACGGAACGTTTTTATCCGTGCTAGACAAGGTTTGCAAATAACGGCATGCAAATAATAACAGATATCTGCACAAGCACTGCTATGAAAATGAGCCCCACACACAGGTCAGTGTTCGTCGGAGAGATGGATCCGTTTGATTACATAGTTGTTCAAACAACCTAAAAGCCACGAGGCACCATCTGTTTGGACCACCAGATTCAGAGTCTGACACGAGAGTGGAGTCTCCAGAGCCACAAGCTACAGAGGCTCTTTGTGTGCGCTCAGAAACAGGGAAGTTTGTTTGCTCGGGGCCATAGCAAGTTCCACAGCCAGGCTTTATGTTTTAGAAGCAATATCTCATCTGAATGCAGATGCTTCCCTGAAGGCTGTTTGTTAAAAACTTCCTGCTTTCCTTCAACCATGACAGCTTTGAATAACCATTACCAAAGAAAGAGGAAAAAAAAAATCCCTTCCTGTACTCTCGTACTTCTCTTTGATCAAGCCTTAAAAACACTCACCTTTAATCTTGCTTCACCAGTGAAAAGCCATTTGATTTCTAATCTAAAGCTGAACTGTGTCAATTTTTCCTCTCTCTCAAAGACTGCAATTTGTGGTGATCAAAGTTCAGGTTTTTCACACATTTTATTGAGCGTTGGAGGAAGCCATACTAAAGACAGACAGAAGTCAAAGAGAAGACTCAACAGAAAGCCGAAGTGAATTCTGACACATGGAAGGCACACAAAATATTGCATGTCAGCAAGAAAACCGGGGTAGAGAGTCGTATCGGCACACTGAACAACTCATTTTGAATAAAATAATAAAATATGAGGTACTTTGATTAGATGCATGACAACCATCCCTTTTCTCGACCCCATTTTTGCATTGCAATGCTGTCAAACAGATGAGTGACGAGATAAAAAACAACTCTGCAACAAAAAGGGTCTAGGGCAAAACTGGTTTAGGTCTTGGTAGGCCTCGACCAGTGGGAGGAAACATCCACCAGAGCTCCGATTAATTTGTTGTTTTCTATTGTTTGATCCTTTTTGTTGCAGCCAGGCAACATGTGCAATCCTGGTCAACTTCCTTTTTGTGCCCACGCACGTATTGCTGCATATAAGCTTATTTCATCGGGAAGTTGGGTAATGTAATGAGTTACAGTGACAAAACCTCTAAGAATAGCTCATTTAGAGTGCAAAGGTTTTACATTTTATAGCATTTCCATTTTAAATTTAATCTCAGTTTTTGATCATATAAAGATAAAAAAAAAACATATTTTTGTTTCATTCAGTTAAGGCACAGACAATTATTTATGATTTTATGATGTGGAAACCAACAAAATCACCACCTGTCACTGCTGTTAAGCTAACGCTGACTGCAGTGTAGCTACGCATCAACTAATGCACTATTAACTAGTTGTGAGCTTGTTAATCTTAGTTTAAAAAGAGTACATCAGCACTACCTACAAGTACTAATTACTACCTAAAATAGTAATATTATAAAAATCTATGTTAGTAATTTGGCAACAATAGGAATATTTGTAGCTTTATAGCTTTAAAAAAAAACAGTTTGTAGTGTTTTTTTATTTACATCTTCTCATAAATACTGTCAAACTTAGTTTGTGTGATAACATCCAGATATCTGTTATATTGTGCAGCCCTTCCCATGTACCAAGATATTATATATATATATATATATATATATATATATATATATATATATATATATATATATATTTTTTTTTTTTTTTTTGTTTTTGTGGGGGCCCCCGACTTTTGTAAGTCCCCACAAAAGTCTGGGGGCAAACATACAGAGCACAAAGTTGCAAAGGTGCAAAGCAACCAGCAACTGGGGGTTTGCAGGCATGTTCAGGCTGACGGCTGTCAGAGTGTTGGCCCCCTCATCTACTTCTGGGGGCTGGAGTGCAGGCCATGTTGACCACAGTGGGTGGGACGGAAAGCAGGGGGTGGTGGTGGTGTAAAGTAGGAGCATACAAACATGTCCATAAACGCTCAATGGAGAGAAAGGTAGATTTTTCTTTTAAAATGATCTACGAATAACATGCGATTTGGATATATAGAATGCCAATGCAGGCATTTGCGTTCAGAAATCACTAGTAAATAGAGTCCAACTGTGCATGATTTCATTTTGGTATAAATCCAGCGGCTCTGTGAAGGCCTCACTGATGTGTTGGCGAACATTAGTGAACAATCGGACAAATCAGGAAGAAAGCTGTTAAGCAGTTTAAAGCTCCATTAAAGTTAGAAATGCTATAACCCACGAGGGGAACACAGCAAAAATGCGGAATAATGCGATCTTCTGAATCGCATTTCATGTGAAACACCCAATACTGTACATCACATTGCACACGCCACAGTGGTAGCAGAATGGTGCTGTGGGGATGCTTTTGCCCAGCAGGAACTCTGAAAGTGGTCATAGTTGATGGGAAGGTGGATGACAGGACAATCCTATGTGAAATCCTGAAGGAGGCTGCAAATTACTTGAGACTGGGGCAAAGGTTCACCTTCCAGCTCAGGAATGATTATTATCAAAGTATATTCCAGTTATAATGACTCAGATGCAAACCTAACACTTGCAAATGACTGTTTACAAATGCCGCTTGTCCAATCTAAGAGAGTTTGAGCAAATCTGAAAAGAAGAATTGGAGAAACATTCTCCAAATATTTAAAGAGAACTTAGGGGGACTGAATTGCAGCTCACACTTAAAACCCGAGATATTTTCCTTTTTAGGGATTTATACAATACTTTATATGGGTCAGTCACATAAAATACCACAAATTTAAGTGAAAAATCTGCAACTTTTTAATAAAGAAATCTTATCTTTTAAATTAAAACGGCAAATTAAGTTTTCAAAGCACTTCTGACTTAAAGAAAACGGCATATTATTCCACAAAAGAAATGCGTGTTGGTAAAAAACAAAAACAAAGCTACACGTCCGTGCGCGTGCCATAAGAGGCTCACACTCACCGTGTTTTCGTCACTTTTAGCTTCAGCTCAGGTAAAATAAGTCCCAGTTTCTTCCTTACTCCTGCAGCTCAGCCGGGAAAGCAGTCTGCAAAATCCATTGAGAAAGTTTCCAAGCGTCGCTTATTTTTCCCCAACGTGCTGCGTTAGGACGTAAATCCCATGTTCTGCGTAAGAGCACGAGGCATTAAAAACATCAGGCGGAGTAAATCTTAACAGACTCCTTTAAGAAAGGGGATATAAAAAAAAAAGTAAGAGCAGAAGAAAAAGCGACCAAAACTCCAGTTCACAAGTGGTTTTCTCGGCGTGTTTTATCCGACACACTATGAGGGGTTACAAGCTATTTTTTTCTCATGTTTTTTTTTTTTTTTTTCGCTCTCTCTCTCTCTCTCTTGCTTTCCGGAGAGGAGGTCGGGATTTGGGCCGTACATGGCGTCAAAGCTGAAGAGAGAGGAGGGGGGAACAGAGTGCTTGTTGTTGCAGCGGATATCTCGCATCCGGTGCTCAGCCATTGGCCGCTTGAGGAGCAGCCATTCACACTCAGTCTGATCAATTATACCCGCTGCCGGCCGACTGTTGAGGAAACACGAGTCCTGCGTGATCCTCAAGAAAGTATCGAGACGTCTTATCGCTCCTGACCCACTTTTCAACTTGCCACGTTACATCTCTTTTATGCTGCTGTGGGAAAAAAAAAAAAAGTTTTTAGATAGTAACAGGACCTCTGTTTATATTAGTTTATACTCTGAGCAATAAACCCTACGAGCGAAATTTATGGCAAGTCATTTTGGACATTAATCATGCCTTTACCAGCGCCACTTTACGGTTATTTAGCGCCAAATCCATGCCTAATAAGTGCAACCTGACGTGTAGTTAGCGCCACTCGGCGTTCAAAACGCTTAGCGTCACCAGGTGTGGGTTAAATATGGACAACCATCTTGGTCATTAATCACATTCTATCCAGCACTATCTGGTATTACATAAACAATGTTAAAAGTATTACCTGCTGTTTATTTAGTGCTACAGACTTTATAAATGCCTGCAGATGTTTATTAAGCTGCAGCTGGATTGTAAAAACCGATGGCACCATTATTATGGACATAAATAAAAAGCGCCAATAAAAACGCCACCTGGTATTTATGTAGCGCCACTACACCTTTTATAAAAGACACCAGACATGCAATAGACACCAAACAGGATTCAAAAAGTGTATCGCCTCCATGTTAAAGTCCTCGAGATGATGGAAACGATGTACACAAAAAGCTTGTGAAACACCTGGTTGTACGTTTGGCGGCGAATGAATAACGACGCCGCTGTTTGATTTTTACAGGCAGTGGTTTTCAACAGCTCTGATCCGGTAGGTAAAATGCTAAGTCAACATTCCTCCTTTGGGATTTTGTGGTAGAGAGCAGAATTCATCAGTTATTCAGCGTGGCTTAAATAGCGCTTTTTGTTAGAATGTTAAATAACCCGAAAGCTATTTATATGTACATAAAGTTATCTTTTTGTCTGAAAGTAAAATTTGTTTGATCTGAAGCATTTAATAAAGGTCATAGCTTTTTTTAAAACTACTTCAAAGTCCTACTTTAATGAACATTTTTGTGTATGTTTTCGTGAATCCTCTTGTTTTGTCCCTGTAACTCTTAAGAAGTCCCTCCGTAGGACTCGGAGTTAATCTTGCTTAATTTTGTGAAAGATTTCCAACCTTTTCACAGTTCTTTGGCAGGCTGCAGCAAATCACTGGCAAAGGAATTCAATAAGTGTCGATGCAACTAATTAATAAACCAAACTTGGTTGCAACTGATGTAAATGGTTGTAGAACAGCACCACCGCGTGGACAATCCGGAACACTGCAGCGTTACTCATGAAAAAAAATAATTTGACTCTTGAGAGCACATTTAGATTAGTGTAAGACGAGCCATTCTATTGTCTATAAAATGCCAAATTCTTTCAATCTGCAGTTTGGTTTTATAGATTTGTTTAAATAACTGAACAGAAACAATAAAACGGCCATGTGGATCCACATTAAAAACTGACGCGAGAAAGGAATGTCGATTGGGGAAGACATTTTCTCATCTTAAAAGGAAATCCAAACATCGTCGTTTGATTCAAGGAAGTGTGATCTGAAACTATTTCAAAGACCGATCATCTTGTGTTCAGTATATGTGAGCCAAAAGAGCAAATCATTAATGAAAAATGACCTTTGACATCCTCTCCCTCCTCTTCTCTGTTTTAGTAATAGAGTGTCTGATCAATCCCAGACAGAATAATTATGAAGTTCTGGGTGCCACACTGCAGGCAGAGGTCACTTTAATCAGCTCTAAGTATTACTTGGTAAATTAACTTGGATCTGGGTCAGAAAGCTTTCAAGACTTTTCTCCTACCCGCAGTTCATTCAGCTTTAAAGTGCTGCTATGTTTTTTTTGTTGTTGTTTGTTTGTTGTTTTTTTAACAGCAAAGGCCTGCCAAACGCCTCCGAGGCATGAAAGGCCTCCATCACCCCCCAGAGCACATACAGCATCCTCCACAGATTTTGATTTGGAAGGGTTAAGAAAAAAGATCCATGGTTTTCACATTTCGGATTCAGAATCAGAGGATTTGTCTTGGTCAATACTTCATAGAACCACTTGCTGTGGTTCCTCATATGAGGATGTGGTTGTTGCAAAAGCTGCTGTAGCTACAAAATGTGTGTGAATGCTACATTTTTAGCAATATATATATATATAAAATTTAGCAATTTTGCATCTTTTAATAAACATGTGCATTAATATCTCGGCGTTCTTTGTGGTTTTATGGGGAAGAAACAGAACTTAAAAAACCTGA